CTTTCTTTCTTTCTTCCTCTCCTCCCTGTGACCACCCTCTTCCGGTGCCCCTCTCATCCATGAATTCCTGTCTGTCCAGCCTTCTTCTATGTGAATGCTACCCCTCTGGTGTCTTATGGCTGCTTGATCCAAGTTATGCATCTCCCTAGAGTAGGTGGGTGCATCCACCTGGGGTAGGTGTTCTTTCTGTATGTGGCTTTTTCTACTGTTGAACTGAAAGCCACTCCATGTAAGTGAGTCCTTTTCTGGCTTGAAGGGTAACCTGGGGCTATAGTCTCAAGGGTTCCACCAGTCTCTGTCTGACCAGTAATTCTGGTCATTTTTGTGTTTTTGAATTTGTTCCACATTTTTCTTCCCACTCTATCTTGGATCTCCAGGTGTTATGGTTACCTAGTGCAGCTCTGACAAGAATATACGACAAATGGGATGGCTTGAACAAACAGGAGTTTATTCTCTTACAGTTCAGGAGTCTAGGAGTCCGAATTCAAAGTGCCAGGCTCTAGGGGCTGTGTGAAAGCCCCTCGACCTTGAGCTTCAGCTCTTCTTCTTGCTCCTGGCCCACTGAAGCTAGAGGCATCTCTTCATACAGGCAGCTAGTGGGTGCTGAGGCTTACAAGCCCAAGGTCAACAGATAAAAAGGTACAGTCCTGATGTTACCAAAACACACAGCAGGCCATTGATTCAAGTCCACTGAAAGTCCCAAGGTCAGCAGAGCATGGCAGGCTGCTGAACAATGACACGGCTACATTCAGGGTTCAAGCGTGCCATAAGCTAGAGACTGTTCCCAAAGCTGTTTCTTATATACGGGAAGCAGACCACATCCCTAAAGCAACTACTCAGCTGTTCCAGTACATTCCTCCATGGAGTTAATTACCAATATCACCATGGGGAATAACTACATTCAGCTGCCCAGCCACTCAACCAGACCCAGGCAAGTTGACACACAAACATAACCACCACACCAAGTTTGATCCCTTTCTGAGAGGTTGACAGTTTTAACCAGGCACCATCTAATTCTTCTGGTCTCGGGTCATAGAGACTGAGGTTCTCATGGTCCATCTTATCTTTGGACTAATTGTTTCCAAATAACTCTGGTTTTCTTCACTCCTCTTTGCTCCAGCCAAGGGGAGACCAACAGTTACATCTTAGATGTCCACTTGAAAGCTTTTAAGATTCTAGTCACTACTCACTAAAGTAGGTTGCAGAACAAAATTTTTATGAACTATGTGTGTCAATTGAGGATGATGTCCCCCAGGACTATGGTCCCAAGCCCCCAGGACTGGTGATTGTCTCTCACAAAAAGTTTGGTTGTCTCTGCAAAGTTCTTCCCACCCGGTCTTCTGTTGCTTCTGTAATGTATATGGAATTTTGTAGCATAACTGTGTATGTAAGATTATCTTCAGCCATATCTATCTTTTGTCTAGGGTGTATTCCTGCTCACCTACCTGTCTGTGTTAATCCTTAGCCTGGCATTTGGCGGTAGTAATACTGCAGTGCTGTCCCTGTAATAGTGTTTGCCTCTGTTGTCTATATCTTTTGTGTACATTTTGGTATCTTTCCTTTAGCCAATGTCACCATGCTGATCACAGACTCTTTCCATACCATTCCTCCCCTCACCCAAAGCAACATGTGACCCCTAAATAAAAACCAACAAAACCAAACTCACTGCTATTGAGTCAGATCCATCTCATAGTGACCCCTCTTTGGGTTTCCGAGGTGGTATCACGATGGAAGTAGATTGCCCAACCTTCCTTTTGATGAGTGGGTTTGAACCACCAGCTTCTAGTTAGCAGTCAAATGCCTTAGGTACTTTTCCCACCCCTTCCCACCTGTCCCTGATAACCAACAAAGTGAGTTTCTTTCCCTGAATAAACAGAAGTCCTTTCTTCAAAAACATTGAGCTATTAACATTTCTAGAAGTTCAGAATTTTCTCTTTTTTTCTTTGTGCATAGTGGTGCATATCTCTGTACAGTGTTATCTCTTTCTTTCTTTTTTGTTGCTTCCTATGAATTTTCTCAAGCTGTCATATAACTTTGTAACCACAACTGTTTATCAATACACAATACTCCACTGAATAAACTTAATCATAAGGCTCATATTGAATATTTAGATTATTTCCATTTAGGGGCTTTTTAAATAACATAAAGCCTTCCAGTTTTACTCTATCTTCTGATTCGTACAGTGGTAAGAACAACATGGAACCCTTTGAGAGAACTTTAGGAGTACATTGTATATAGCCGACCCCAACCCGTCCTCTGTACTTATAGTGCTGAAAGGCTGCATGGAGGCAGGAACAGATGTCCTTCCTCCCTAAGACTCATCTTCTGCTCCTGGTGCTTTTATATTTCCCCAGCCTTCCTTATTCTTATTAGTCCTTGAGGTAATCAACTTGCTTCCCTTTGTAGTATCTGGGGCTCAGGTTTTGTCTTAAAATTTGGATGGTCTTTGATTCTGTTGTACATAGGGTCACTGTGAGTCAGAGCCAACTCGATAGCACCTAAAAAGAACAGGCTTAATTTGCGTAGTGTATTGAGATTGAAGCATGTTATACCAAAAATGCCAATATGATCTTCTAAAATAGTTTCTTGTTGTTGGCACTACTGATACTTTGAAACAGGTCATTCTTTGTGTGAGAGACCTTCTTGTGCATGATAGAATGGTTAGCAGCATCCTGGGCCCATAGCAACTGAAAGCCCATAGCAACTCCCAGTTATAACAACCAAAAATGTCTCTAGACATTGCCAACTGTTCCCCAGAGGGAAAACTGCCCCCCATTGGGATCCACTGCTCTCAATCTCTTCTTGATATTTTATTTGAATTTTTTAAAATTTCCTCGTGATACTGGATATCTTTTCAGAATTTTATTGATTATTTGTGTTTTTCAATTTAATAATGACATTGACTTTATATATTTTTTGGTTTGGATACTGACCCGTTTAGTATTGATTTATAAGTTGTTGTGGTTGTTAGGTGTTGAGTTGATTTCAACCCATAGTGACCCCATGTGGCAGAGTAGAACTGCCCCTTTGGGTTTTCTTGGCTGTAATCTTTATGGAAGCAGGTCACCTGGTCCTTCACCCACAGAGCTACTTCTGGGCTTGAACCACCAACCTTCAGTTAGCAGTGGAACACTTAATAGTTGCACCACCAAGGCTCCTTCTAAATATAAGAACTAAAGCCATATATACAAGATACAGATATACAATAGAATATTACTCTGCCATAAAGATTTATAAGAACTAACTATGTGTTAAAGAGAGGAAACAAAATAAGATAAAGTTTAAGAGCTTGTATTCTTATGTTCAATGGCTGAAGTATAGATTCTACCTCTACCTTTTAACTGTGTAACCATTAGCAAGTGAACATTTCTCCAGTTTAGTTTATTTACATCCTGGGTTATATGACAACATCTTTCTTCACAAGATTGGTGTTATGATAATTTTTAATGAATCTTAAGTGAAAAAAAAAACCCCAAAATCCTACTACTGTCAAGATGAGTCGGGGCCGACTCCACGGCACATAACAACAACAACAGCAACCCTATAGGACAGAGTAGAACTACCCTGTAAGGTTTCTAAGGCTGTAAATCTTTCCAGAATCAGACCGCCACATCTTTGTCCCGCAGAACAGCTCATGGGTTCAAATTGCTGACCTTTTAGTTGGCAGCTGAGCACTTTAACCACTGCACCATCAGGACTCCTTTTACTGAACCTTCTCACTGCCACCAATTCAATTCCAAGTGATAGCAATTCCCATTGGGCTTCCAAGGCTTTAAATCTTTATGGAAGTAGATTGCCTCATCTTCCTCATGCGAAGCAGCTGGTGGGTTTAAACCACTGACCTTGTAGTTAGCAGCCAAGTGCCTTACCCACTATGCTACCAGAACTCCTTTTGATGAAACTTAAGGGAGCAAAATTAGATTATAATCTTTCATTTTTAAATAATGCATTATTGATCCATATACAGCCTAGTTCTACTTTGCTCATTCATGCATTCTTTTTAAAATGCATGATCAACACTTATAACAACACCACACAATTCAAAAACTGAAATGTTAACAATTACAGACATTTATATCTACTTAAGGAACTGTGGTCTTGTAGTGCCTCAGGCATTTGCTAACCAGAAGGCTGGCGGTTCAAACCCACTAGACACTCCTCAAAAAGAAGGTTAGGCAATCTATTTCCGTAGTGATACCACCTTGGAAACCCAAGGAGGGGTCGCTATGAGTTGGATATGACTCGATATGGCAGTGAGTTTGGTTTGGTTTTATATCTACCTATGTGCTCTCCCCATCTTCAAAGAAAAGCACTAGCTTGAATTTTGTGCTTATTATTGTTTTACTTTGGTTTTTAGTTTTATGGAACTTGCTAATGCAATGTTAGTGAATTACATCTGTGTTGTGCTATAATTCATTCATTGTGCTATTATGTAAGTTTCAGTTATAATAGCCCATGGTTTGTTTTATTGAAAAGGCATATGGGTTGTTTACAGTTGTAAATGGTGTTGCTACAACCCTTCTGGATCCAACAGTACAAATTCAAACATTTCTTCCAGTGCACAGCTGAGGTAGAATTGCTGGGTCAAGGCCTGTGTCAACAGTGAACTATTTGTAAAAGAATTCCAAATTATGTACCAGTTTATACTCCTACCAAAACCCAACATAAGACCATCTCCATCCACATCTTCTTCAACATTTGGTACTACATTTTTGCCATTCAAGGGGGTATGAAATGGCAACTTACTTTGATATTGGCTTGCATTTCCATGATTGTAAATGAAATTGAGTATCTTTTTGTGTCTTTATTGGCCATATGTGCTTCCTTTCCATGAGATATGTTATGACTTTGGCCCATGATTCTTTTATTAATGATAGTCATAACCTTCGTGTGTCATATTGGTTTTCATTTTTGCATATTCTGGCCTTTGTCTTTTACTTTTCCCTTTGGAATTGTATTATATCACAACGTTCTTGACCACAACCTTTTCTGCCACGTAGGTGATATTGTCATCTTTGCAAAGCCTCTTGTGGTGCCTAAAGGTGACAGAAGTCTCTTAACAACCACCATTCTCCTTGCTGCGGATGGAACAGACAAGCCTGAGGAACTGCTCTATGTCATTACTTCCCCCCCACAATATGGCCAACTTGAATACGTCCACTATCCTGGAGTCCCCATTACGAGCTTCAGCCAAATGGACATAGCAGGACAAACAGTCTGCTACATACAAAACAGCAAAGTAGCTGCTTCCAGTGACACATTCAGGTGAGTGCCATGGAAATTTTCAGAATCTCTGCCCTGGATTAATGCTTAGAAAGACAAAAAGAAAGAGAGAGAGAGAGAGAGGGAGAGAGAGAGAGAGAGAGAGTCCTTTTCCAGCTGTGGTATTAGCTATATTTTTCTACTGTCTAGCTACGGAAAGTGAACATACACAAAACAACAGCAGTAAGGTGATGCATTCCGGCCTGTTTTTAAAGAATGAAACTGTTATTAGGTACCATTGAATCAGTTCCAACTCATAGTGATCCTGTGTAGAGTAGAACAAAATGCTGCCCGGTCCTGTGCCATCCTCACAATCCTTGCTATGTTTAAACCCATTGTTGCGGCCACTGTGTCAATGCATCTCATTGACAGTCTTCCTCTACTTTACCTGGCATGATGTCCTCCTCCATGGAGGTGTACACACATCTAAATGCAAGCTGTTTTTGAGAAGGAATAAGAAGAGCAGAAGGTTCCCAGCTTCTGGGATAGATAGAAAAAAGTAATTTACCATTTTTTTAAAGTATATTTTTCTAGCTGGTGAAAAGGCATTTACTAGAAACATTTGGCATAAGCAGCCATTGCCTTTTGACACAGTGTGTTCTGGTAACTAGATCATAAATCATGTTGTCATAAAGTGTATCATATTTCTCCATAAAAACAATGTTATAATTGGGGGCTGTGCACCTGTTCAAGGATTCTTTATCAAATACATCAGTGGAATGAATAACAATCTAGTGAAAAGGCAGAGATACAAACATTAATGAAAGTCTACATTCATTTAAAATATTCAAATGTGTTTCAAGTCAGATAAAGCAAGAGAACCTCTAGAGGATCTGTCATCTAGCAGTTCTCAAAGCTGAACTCAAGGTCCTTGACAGAAATATGGATCCCCAGGCCCTTCCTTATATAGGTCTGGGATGAGGACAAGAGAATCGGATGAGTATTTGGGGAAGGCCCTGAAAGCATTGATTCTTCTGCTGTAAACCCAGGGCTTCTGGCCCCCAGTACAATTTTTACCATGTCAAAATATACCCCTGAAAGAGGTGCTATAAAATAAGATAATTGGAGCATCTGCCTATATTATTCAAGGGGCCCCCATAAACCATAAAGTATATTTAACACTAATGGTCAAAACCCATTCTTTATCACATATTTTATCTATTATTATTCAATATGTCTGCTATGATAAATACGGTGGAAATGTCCTTGTAGATGATATTGCTTGCCTTTTTAGCAATGGGAATGATTTGTGAAAGATAATTTGGATAGGCCACATATTAAAATATCCAGAGAAGTTTAAACTAATATCCTCCTGATCATTTGGTTGTCAATATCGTAATAATCAATGCAGTGATTAGGTGTTGCGAGGCATTACCCAACACATTACTGCTGTTGTTGTTAGCTGTGGTCAAGTTGGCTTCCCACTCATGGAGACCCATGCACAACAGAACAGAACATTGCCCAGTCCTGCGCCATCCCCATCGTTGGTTTTGGCTGGAAATGCTGTGACCCATAGGGATTTCACTGACTGTTTTCAGAAGTAGATAGCTAGGCCTTTCTTCCCAGCCATCTTAGTCTGGAAGCTCCACTAAAACATGGTCAACATCACAGTAGCACACAAGGCTCCACTGACAGGAGGCTGCACATGCAGATAATCATCTAATTATTTCATTGATAAATATCAAATAATCAATGCAGAGGTTAAATGTTGTTAAGCATTGTTGTTGTTGTTGTTGTTATGTGCCGTCGAGTCGGACCCGACTCATAGCGACCCCTCCGTGGGTTTCTGAGGCAGTATCACTACAGAAGTAGATTGCCCCATCTGTGGGAAATCGTTTTCATGCTGGTATTTTTGCTTGAGAATTGCTAATTGTAATTAATTGATAGTGTAATTATTAAGTCAAATCCTGCCTCCACTGCCCCCAATTGTGTGTCTTTCCATCAAATTATACAACCTCCTATTCTGTTTCCTCTTCTGTAAAATGGGAGAGTGCTAATAGCACCTACCTCACAGGGTTGTTGGGAGTTTTAAATGAGTTTGTGCACATAAAGCACTTACAACAGTACCTGACACATGTTGTTATTAGGTGCCATCAAGTCTGTCTTAGTTCTCTAGTGTTGCTAGAACAGAAATAACACAAGTGGATGGCTGCAACCAACAGGAAGTTATTCTTTTGCAGTTTATGAGGCTAGAGGTCTGAATTCAGAGTGCTGGCTCTAGAGGCTTGGTGAAGGCCCCTTGACCTTGGGCTTCAGCTCTGCCTCTTGTTCTAGGCCCACTAGAACTGGAGGATTCTTCTAACTTATGCAGTTACTGGCTGCTGAGGCTGGCAATCCCAAGATCAGCAGGTAACATGGCAGGCCACTGGTTCAAATCCAGGAGCAATCCCAAGATCAGCAAGCAACACAATCCAAAATGTGCCAAAAAGCTAGAGACCTTTCTCAAAGCTTCTCCGTATATACTGGAAGAAGACCTCACCCTGAGGTAACTCCCCTTCAACTGATTAGGTGCTCACAGCAGATTCTACCATGGAGGTGATTACTATCTCATCATAGGGAATAATTACATACAGCTGCCAAGCCATTCAAACCCACAGCCCAGGCAAGTTGACACACAGCCTTAACTACCACAGGGCCAATTCCAACTCATAGCAGTCCTGCACAGTCCTCACACAATTGTTGCTAGACCTGGCACATGGGAATTATGAAATAACTATTGATTGCTATCATTATTATTGTGGTTGTTATCATTATTTATCATAGTCTTTCCTTGACCCCTTTTCCCCTTCTAATCTTTACAACACCAAGAATAACCTTGAAGGAGTAAAGAAGTTACAGAGAGGAGTAAGAACTGATCTTGTTTTCTTTTTTGCTAATGGAGGTAGGTGCTTCTCAGCTAATGGGCTTTTAATTTCATGCCCATTTCCAGAATTTCTTGCTTCTCTCCATTGATGCTTCCTCCAGTCAGTGCCCACAGGAGAGTCTGCTGCAGAGATGTCAATGGCTGTGGCAGAGAAACCAGTGACTGTGCTGGAGAAGCCAATGAGTGAATGTGTATAAATGTTAGAAAACAAGTTAGGTATTAGGTGATGGGAAAGATCTGAGAAGCAGAAGCAGAATCATGTGAAGGTTGGTAATACATCCATAGAAAGTCATGCTAGATGGCATTTTAGAAATCATCCCATGAATTCCTAAATCCCACTTACAGATGAGTTTCATGAGAATTAGCTGGAATCTTTAAAAACAAATAAACAAATAATTCTTGGGCCTTACTCCAGAGGAGCAACTTTGTTAAGTCCAGTCTTGGACTCAGAAATCTGTAATTTTAAAAAGCTCCTTGGGTGATTTTGATGCAGTCAGGACTAGCAACTAGCAGTCACAGGTCTGGTCCAGCCCATGCCAGAATGTATCCTGAGAAGACATGAGGATTTAAAGGAAGGCTCACTAGAGCCTCCAGGAACAGAGAATGGAGGGGCTGAATTGTTGGGGCTCTGGAGCCCTCATCCAAATTTGTAGAAAGAGCTCTGTTGTTGTTGTTTTTTTAATCATTTGTTTTCAATTTGTTTTGCACACTGGGCTTCTTGTCAAGGTTTTCTTTTGGCAGAAAGACTGTCTTTATTTCCCAAAGCAACTGATTTGTACCACCAGTGATACAAAGGTGTAGGATGATGTGGCCTAGTAAAGAAATAAGGCAAGACATAAATGAATCAAGAGTGAGACACTATTCCTTTTTAGTTCTTTTAGTTCTTTAGAATGTTTTAAGAAAAACGTCTCAGGCTGGTGCTAATATGTATAAGCCAGTTTAAAAAGCCAGCCCCCCTCAATTCCAACTGCTGATACCTCCATGCATATCAGAGTTGAGCTATACTCCGAAGGGTTTTCAATGACTGACTTTTCTTTCTTTCCTTTTCATAAAAAAAAATAATAATTAATAATTTATTTTATTGTTATTGTTGAGAATATACACAGCAAAAACAGACACAAATTCACATTTCTACATTATTTTTCTGGCGTAGATTGCCACTGAGCAATAATATCTAGCTAGAATGAAACACTTTGTTTTGTTTTCCTGTACTTTATTATTGCAGCATTTATGGCAATATTGGCTTTCAGTTTTTAGCAGTTAAAAGGTTTCTTTTTTAAATATATTTATTCAAGTAAAAAAGTGAGTTGCTGTAAAGCAAAATAATAAATAATAAAAGTACAGGTAGTACAAACAAATGGAGTTGTAATGGTGCAGTGGTTTAGCACTCAGTTGCTAACTGAAAGGTTGGCATTTTGAACCCATCATGACGGCACATAACAACAACAACAGCAGTGGTTTCTCAGGAGGAAGACATAACAATCTGTTCCCCGAAAGACTACAGCCAAGACAATCCCACAGAGCAGTTCTAATATGTCACGTGGGGTCGCTATGAGTGGGATCAACTCAACAACACCCAACAACAACAGTACAGACAACAGTTATGAAGGTGGTATTTGAATGAATCAAGATGAGGGAAGAGGTCTACAGGGAGAAAACAATGAAGGTTGAAAGACATTGGTTTAGTCCAATCCCTTCACTTAAACACAGAAAAGCTTGTATTTACTGAGCACCTGCAGCGTGCCAGGCAGTGTACCAGATGCTTTTTTGTATGTTCTTTCCCTTATTTCAGAGAGATGTAGTTAATTGCCATTTTGTGCATGAGACAACCGAGCTTCCAAACGGTGAAGGAAGTAGCTTAAATTCACATAACTGAGTATCAGAGCTGATTTTGGGCTGAGCACTCATTTTCACTTGAGATTTTTCTTTCCCCATGATACCTGATTGCACCAAAAATTTGTGAAGGAACCTCCTCAAAGTGCCATTCTGATGTTTGGCCAGCAGCTTTGCATATTTATAATAGAAGAGCCTAGCATCTGCCGAAGACTCTCGCGTTTTAATCTTGTCATTTCACTAACCCCGTCAGGGACTGCCGTGTTGTTTGTCAAGTGGCGCTAAACCAAAGCTGAAAGCCTGTTTTAATGAAAGTGTGATCATGGTGCTTTTTAAAAATTAAATCTATGCAACCAATCTAATCACCTAAATTTATGTTGCTTGCTGTTCAATCTGGCAAGGAATTTGGGCTGGGTAGAAGAGATAAAGTCTGTGGCAGAATTTCCCTTCCCCCCTTCCCTTTTTAATGTAAGCTGTGGCAGCATTAATTAAATGGGGGAGTTTAATGGTCAGATTTTACCTTCTGCAAAAATATTTTTTTGAATCATAAATTTCTCCTGCATTGTTTGGTGCTGTTGGCCTGGAAGAAAGATTTGGCAGCCCGTTCTAGGACAGATGACACCAAGCGATTAGCAAACTGACTTCAGCTGCTGGCAGCCAGGTACTAAAAGAACATGCTAATGTCCTCCATTTTGACATGCCGGCTGGACTTTTTCTTTCTTTCTGAGGAGCTGGCGCTATTTATGATTCCATTTTTATCTTTTAAATGCCATGACAGATGGCAGATTCTTCAGCCAACTCTATCGCCAGGAGATGCAGAAAGCTTGAAAGCACCACGGTAGTGCTGAAATCAGACCATGCAAGCACCGCAGACAAATCTGAGAGTCATTCCCCAAATCTCATGAGAATGGTGGTCACCTTGGCAGCTGTCTCTCCTGGGGGGAGAGTGGGTGTAATAAAGAGAATTAAGCAAATTGTATCCATTTGCTACCTTGCTATCCAAAGTGCTACCTTGACAGCACAGCTTTCTTCTCCTTGGAATGGATACCATTATAGCAATGGCACTCTTGTTTTAAAACTTGAGAATATATATGGAGGGTTATTGTTTTTGTTTTTAATTAATTTCTATTTTGGTGGGTGAGTATTTGGAAGATTATGTGGTAAACTTTGGCAAAAATGTGAGCGGCCCTGGCCTTGTCTCACTTGTTCTGCTAGACTTATTTTGATGGGAACCCAAGCACGACCATGCACCCTGTCTTTTGCTGATTAACATTTCTCTGCTTATGGGTAGCTTTCATTGTTACTCATGAAAGTGGAATGATGTGTTTGATTCAGCCATGTTTAGAAATTACATTCTCTCCACCACTGGCTTATTAGCTTTAGGTCAGTGCAGACAGCTGCCTTGATGTCCCAGCTGGGAACCCTGGCCTCAGTAAACATATTTCTTCCTCTTCTATGGTCCCTGGCCTGTTTGTCCTCATTCCCATCTGTCTGATGGCAGACTGCCTATTACCAACATGGTCAGAGCCTAATCATTCAGCAGGCAGGCCAGGCAGGGTGGGGTTGGAGACAGACAGCCTGGACCATAAGACAACTTCAGTGTCCTCACAGAGGTCACACACGTGCGCAGGAACTGCAGTCATCCTGACACTGAGCTTTGAGGACCCTGTCAGGCATTTTGGAATTCAGCCTCCAGAGAGGAAAGTCCCAGTGAGCTACTCAAAATGGCTGCTCGTGATGGAGCCCCTGACACATAATCTCACATTTAATCTTGTGCCTGATCCTCATCTCTCCCCTTTAATCTCCTTCCTTCGCAGCTGATTTTTGACATATTTTTATGAGGGTCTTTCATCCCACAATTAAGGATAATGCTAAAAATATACATACTTAGGCTTAAATTTGTACTGAACAATATATATATGGCTGCTTTAAAACTCTTCATGAGTGTGTATTTTGATATAGGGACCTGGAGGAAATAGAGTCACTTTTGTTTACAAAAGAAGGCAGAATAGAGGGGAATGAAATGTGTTCCTGGAGGTATAAAGTAGAAAAAAGGAGAAATTGGAGCCACTGAGGAAATTATTAAGGGGAAAAAAAAGATCAAACTTCTTGCCATTGAGTGGATTCTGACTCATAGTGAACCTATAGGACAGAATAGAACTGCCCCACAGGGTTTTCAAGGCTGTAATCTTTATGGAAGCAAGTTGCCTCATATTTCTCCTGCTGAGTGGCAACCTTCAGGTTAGCAGCTGAGCTCTTAACCACTGTGACACCAGGACTCTTTAGTGATCCTGCAAGACATAATAGAACTGACCCATAGATTTCCAAGGCTGTAAGCTTTATGGAAGGAGCCCTGGTGGTACAGTGGTTAAGCATTCAGCTGCTAATCAAAAGATAGGGAACCCACTAGCCCTTCCAGGGGAGGAAGATGTGGCAATCTACTTCCATAAAGATTTATAGCCTTGGAAACCCTTTGGGGCAGTTCTACCCTGTTTTATAGGGTTGTTGTGAGTTGGAATCAACTGACATCTTTATGGAAACAGACTGCCATATCTTTCTCCAGCACTGTAACCTAGCACTTAATCACTTGGTCATCAGAACTCCTTAATTAGAATCTCCCTCTTATTTTATTTTGACTCAGATGATAGGCTTTAGGGTGGAAACATGAAAAGGTAACAGGAAAACAACAGAATAAAGGCATCGTTCCATAAAAAGCTCTGCTTAAGAAATATACCTAATTTAATTTAATTCTTATACCTAAAAAATACATCTTACTGGACTAAATTAAGTAAAAAGTTGCAGAATACACAGATTTTTTTTTTCTGGGTACCCTTGCAACTTTCTTCTTTTTTCATAAATAACTAATTGCATAAACACTCATCTTCAGCAATGTTTAAAATCATGAAATTGCCCAATTATCTTAGAATAAATTTATTTAAAATTTAGCTTTACAAAAGGAAAATTGTTTTGTTTTAATAAAACTATGTGATTTTGCTCAGTCTGCAATTCTAAATACTTTCAATCCAATTCTAAATACTGCAATCCAATACCTATATTCAAACTGTAAAAATAGTGCTGTGAGATAAGGCAGGTTACGTTCTTCATAAGTCTGAGTTTGTGAAATGTTCTGTGACATAGATTCCTTTTTCTAAACATCATGTATTTTCCACATAGATGATTTTATCAAGTAGATAAATAGAAAACTCAAAAATCTTAGCCTGTCCTTCCAAGTAAAATCTGCACCCAGACATACTTACCTCCCTTTTGCTTTTTATCAAGCTTGCCTCAGGTAAGCTGGTCAACTCATGGTTCTCAAAGGACCTGGTTTCAGGTTCCTTCTTGGTCAAAAGTACAGCATCAACTAAAAAACTCTAAGAGCAAGACATATTTTGCCAAAAATAAAGCCCTTGCTAGTCAAATGTGTCAGATAAAACCCCAGAACTTTGCTAATTAAAAAAAGAATCTCCAAAGATAATCCTTATATGTTATAATGCCATTTCCACCAAAACATTATTTTATTTCCTTATCATTTTGTTATAAAACCTTATTCTTTTCTTTTACATGAGTGGAATGTAAGAGTATACTCTCCATGAGTATTTCTGTCAACTAAAAAACTACCCTATGATTATCTGTAAATTCACCTCTTTGGTCTATGATGAATTTGTTGATCTTACATGACAATAGTGGTTTCCTAACTTTGTGTTTTAATATTGTATCTTACTTGTTTAATTCCATAATTCTCTCAATTCTCCTTAAAATAAAAATCATATATTAAAATGTTCTAAAAATCATTTGGGAGTTCTGGTGGCATAGTGCCTAAGGCATTTGACTGCTAACCAGAAGGCTGGCAGTTCAAGCCCACCAGCCACTCCTCAAAAGGAAGCCTGAGCAACCTACAATCTACTTCCATAGAAATACCACTCAGGAAACCCATGGAAGAGTCACTATGAGTCAGAACCAAGTCGATGGCAGTGAATTTGTTTGTTTGTTTTAAAAGATCATTTAAATTAGCTTTATTTTGAGATTGGCAGTGGTGAGTGAATATGTGATCAATGTAATCAGAAATACCTTAAGGTTTCAATCACAAGCCCAAAACTGTGAGAGAGATTTTGCTCACCTTGATTTTATATCTTTCTTTGTAGTTCTGCAGTAGTACTGAGACACCATGCTTCTATTTTGGTGGATTGCTAAGCTAGCGTTTATTAAACACTTTGCAAGAGCAGAGGGTGTGGAGTCAAAAGACCTGGGTTCTAGTCCCAGCTCTGTTTCCTACCTGACTTAGGGCCTTACACCAAGTTTCTAGACTTTTCTGCTATCATTTTCTTTTTTTAAAGCAAAGATAATCTTGTCTAATATAACTCCTACAGCTCTTATAAGGGTTAAATACAAAAGCACATGTAAACTATTTTAGGGTTGGATGTACTTAGTGATTATCTAGTCTGTCCCACTCATTTTAGAGAAGAGTAAAATTGAGGCTAAGAGAATGGAGATGAGTTATGTAGGATTATATGGCTGGTATGGCATGGGTAATATGATATGCCCTTAAGAAATTCACCATAAAGATGTATGAGTACAGTGAATCAGCCAAATTCATCCTACTCAGCATTTCATTGGATTGTCCCCCAGTTACCAGTCTTAAAAGTCTAGCTTATTATAGTCCCATGAAAAAGATACAATTGCAAAATTCCAAATATATAAAATGTGTGTACTCTGCAAAGTCATTTAATAGGTCCAATTGGATGTGAAATTCTTATTTGGATCAAGGACCTATGCTAAGTACTAATGAATCCAAAAAAATATCATTGCTAGAATGAACCTACTCCATTACTGAGTCTACCATTAATGTTGCTTAAAAAATACTTTTGGGCATGGAATGGTCAGTGTATATGTTATTTGGTGATTGGTTTAACAGCAGAAAGGCATCTTTCTGAAAGAACTGCCCTTAATTTTTCGTTTGAATCACAACACAACATATCCTTTAGTAAAGGTATGTATTGTTATCATTTCATTCCAGTAGATGGTGAAACAAGAATCCATGCTGAAGGCTGCCTTGCCTCTCTTTGCCAGATTCATTGTCAGCAATGGAGTCCAGACCAAGCACGGAGTGTTTGAGGTCACTCTGGAGACTGTGGACAAAGCCTTGCCTGTGGTGACGAGGAACAAAGGGTTGAGACTGGTCAAAGGGGCCACGGGCCTGCTTTCTCCTGACCTCCTTCAGCTGACTGACCCTGACACGCCACAGGAGAAACTCACCTTCCTCCTGGCACAGCTCCCACAACATGGCCAGCTCTACCTGCAGGGGACAGCACTACTTCAACCCAATTTCACTCAACAGGACGTGGACAGCAGGAATGTGGCATATAGGCACTCAGGAGGGGACTCCCAGATTGACCGATTTACTTTTGTGGCCACAGATAGGACAAACCAAGGCTTTGTTATGAATGGGAGAGTGTGGGAAGAACCTGTTTCATTCACCATCCAGGCAAGTATAGCAGACCAACAGTTCATTGCCAATCATTGAATTCAAGGAGAACCATCTCCTTATTTCTTTTCCTCTTTCTTTCACATAACATGATACATCTACAGCCTGCCAGACACTCATTCAAGATCTGGACATATTAATCATGAATAAAACAGACATGTTTTATGGGCTCATGGGTTGACCTTGAGAGTGTGGTAGTACAGGAAGTTCCCAACTTACCATGGAATTCCATTCCCATGACTCTGTCATAAGTTGGTTATGAGATAAATCAAAATCTCTTTTTTTAAGTTTTTATTATTACCTTTTATTATAAATATTCTATAAATCTGATCCTTATTTGTCTTTGTGGTTTAGAAACATTACACATAAACATCTGTTAGTAAACATGAGAATGGTAACACACTGCAACATTGTTTGTGGTATATATTACTAACAATAAGATGTAAAAAAAAGCTCATAAGGGTGGTTCATTGTAACTTGAATATGTAGTAAGTCAGGGACTACTTATACAGAAAGGAGCAAAAAACAACGCTTTGGTGTCAGATGAGCTTTGTAATTTCTCCTTTGCTTTTTGTTAGCTCAGTGACCTTAAAAGAATTCTTTAACTCTTTGGATCTACTTTTCTTTCTTTGAAAAACATGTGTATCCAGCTGTTAGTTGTTGTTGTTAGCTGTTGTCAAGTTGGTTTCAACTCATAGTGACCCTATTTGCAACAGAACAGAACACTGCTCAAGTCTCCAACATCCTCCCAGTCCTTCCATATTGCAGCCCATTGTTGCAACCACTGTGTCAATCCATCTCATTCAGGGTCTTCCTCTCTATTGCTGAATACTTTATCAAGCATGATGTCCTTCTCTAGGGACTGGTCCCTCCTGATATCATGTCCAAAATATATAAGATGAAGTCTTGCTATCCTTGCTTCTAAGGAGCATTCTGGTTGTGCATCTTCTAAGACAGATTTGTTCATTCTTCTGGCAGTTCATGGTATATACTCTTCACCAACACCATCATTCAAAAGCATCAATTCTTCTTCAATCTTCCTTATTCTTGGAAGTACAGCCAGAATGCTCCTTAGAAGGGAGAATGGTCAGACTTCGTCTCTTGTACTGGTCATGTTATCAGAAGGGATTGGTCCCTGGAGAAGTATATAATGCTTGGTAAAGTAGAGAGTCAGCAAAAAGGAGGAAGACCCTCAATGAGAGGGATTGCCACAGTGGCTGCAATGATGGAATCAAGTATACAATGATTGTGAGGGTGGTGCAAGACCACGCGGTGTTTCATTCTCTTGTACACAGGGTTGCTATGACTCAGAAGTGTCTTCATGCCTCCTGACAACAACTTCCTTATTCATTGTCTAGCTTTCACATGTGTATGAGGACACTGAAAATACTGTGGTTTGGGTCAGGCACACCTTAGTCCTTAAAATGACATTTTTGCTTTTAAACCCTTTAAAAAGGACTTTTGTAGTAGATCTGTCCAAAGCAATGCATCGCTTGATTTCTTGACTGCTGCTTCCTTGGGTTTTGATTGTGAATCCAAGCAAAATGAAATCCTTGACAACTTTGATAATTTCTCTATTTATCATGATATGGCTTATTAATTCAGTTATGAAGATTTTTGTTTTCTTTATGTTGAGATGTAATTCAAACTAAAGGCTGTAGTCTCTGATCTTCATTAATAAGTGCTTCAAGTCCCCTTCACTTTCAGCAAACAATGTTGTGTCATCTGCATATCTCAGGTTGTGAATGAGTCTTTCTCCAAACCTGATGCCATGTGCCGTGTTCTTCATATAGTCCAGCGTAGACTGTTCACTTAGCATATAAATTGAATAAGGGATACAATCCTGATGCACACCTTCTTTGATTTTAAACAATGCAGTATCCTCTTCTATTTGAACCAAGACTGCCTCTTGGTCTATGTTCAGGTTCTCCATTAACATAACTAAGTTTTCTGGAATTCTCATTCTTTGCATTGTTATCAACTTTCAGTCTTTCTGGTATTCTCTGCTTTTAGCCAAGATCCATCTGACATCAGGAGTTATATCCCTCATTCTATATCCTCTTTTAAATCCAGCTTGAATTTCCGGTGTATCCAGGGCACTAGACCATTGCCTTAAACATATTAGATAGTCGATATCTAGTAACTACTATTATGATGGAGTCCTTGGGTGATTCAAACTATTAAAGCACTCAGCTCCTAACTGAAAGATTTGAAGTTCAAATTAATCTAGATATACCTCAAAAGAAAGTCCTGAAGATCTACTTCCAAAAAATCAGCATTAACCCTATGGAGTACAATTCTACTCTGACACACAGAAGAGCATTATGAGTCAGAATCAACTTAACAGCAACTGGTTTACTATTATGATAAGACTTGTTGGGCCATGCCATCTCCTGGCATTTAAAAGGCTTTCAACTAAAGATATGAAAACTTATGAGGCAGCATCAATATTACACATGTGATAGTAAGGAGCTACAAATTTTTTAGTGCTTACTGTAGATCAGTTCCATTTTATATGAATCTCATTTAATTCTTATAAAAATTCTTAGTTAAATTTTATTATCTCCATTTTATAGATGAGGGAACTGAGTTTCAGAGGTTAAATACTCTGATCAAAAATACTCAGCTATTCAATTCCATTACTAGGTATATACCCTAAAGAAGTGAGAGCCAGGACAATAACAGATATATGCACATTCGTGTTCATTGCAGCACTATTTACAACAGCAAAAAGATGGAAACAACTTAGGTGCCCATCAACAGAAGAATGGATAACAATTGTGGGTACATACCCACAATGGAGTACTATGCAACCCTGAAGAATAACATAGAATCTGCAAAACACCGCACAATGTGGATGAACTTGGAGGACATTATGCTGAGTGCAATAGGTCAATCACAGAAGGACAAATATTGTATTAGTCTGGTGTAGTGCCTAAGGCATTTGACTGCAAACTGGAAGGCTGGTGTTTCAAATCCACCAGCCACTCCTGGGAAGGAAATTGGCCAATCTACTTCTGTAGTTATAGTGCCCCAGAAACCCAAGGCGGGGTTGCTATGAGTCAGATCCAACTCGACGGCAGTGAGTTTGGTTTTTGGTTTTGGGTATTGTAAAAAGTCAAGGAAATGTTTTTACATGGAAGGAAATTTTCTTTGTTGGTTACCAGGGGTTGGAGGTGAGGGGAGGGAACATTACTAAATAGGCAGAGATAAGTATTGATTTGGGTGAAGGGAAGGGCAATGTACCAAATGTGAATGATCTACACAGTGGCACTGAGGAAGAAGAAGAAATGGAGAGGTGCATGGGAGGTACAGACAACAAAGATGAACCCTTTTGCACATACAGTACTGCAGTGTATGGCAAACATTGATCCACAGGTGGATGAATGTGTGGACAGGCTGAATGATTATGTATGTCTATCAGAGGGGAGTATGCTTATGACCATGTAAAAGATGGGCAGACAAGGTTTCTACAAGTATATTTGTATATTCTGTAAGAATTTCCAGGTATGTAGTAGAGCTGACAAGGGTCAGGGTTGTAGTCACTTCTTGGCTACAGCCAGCTACCCAGAGGGAGTGAGTAGTTGGACCTATGGGATCAGGACCATGGTCACAGAGGACAGCAAGCTCAATTGGCATAACATATTACACAACTTTGTTCCACATCCTACTTTGGGTAGGTGAGTAGTGACTGGGATCTTAAAAGCTTGCAAGCAGCCATCTAGATGCAACAATGGGTCTCTCCTCATCCAGAGCAAAGAAGAGTGAAGAAAACCAAAGATGCATGGAAATAATTAGTCCAAGCGACTGGTACACCATGTGATCCTCAACCTATATGACTATGAGACCAGAACTAGATGGTGCCTGGCTACCACTGTCAACCACTCCGTAAGGGATCTGTGTAGGAGATCCTGAATAGAGTGGGAGAACAATGTGGAACAAAACTCAAAATCATAAAAAAAAAAAAAAGGACCAGGTTTGTTGGTCTGATAGAGCCTGGTAGAACCTTGAGACTATGGCCCCTAGCTGCCCTTCATTTCTAGAATTGAACCCTCTCTTGTGGCTTCCAGGCAAACAAAAGATAGGCATGTGAGCTGAACATTTACATTACATAGATACACTCGTTGGAGAGAACAATCATTGGAGAATAGAAGGGCTGTGCATGCAAAGGGAGACAGCACAGGGGGCAGGAGTGCATGGGAGGGAAGGACACAGGGAAGAGGTGGCTATGAGGAGGAAGTGAGAGGAGAGCTGTTGCATTGTGGGAGATTACAGTCAATGTCATGAGACAAAGTGTACATGAACTTCTGTGGGGAAGATGAATTTGCTCTGTAAACTTTCACCCAAATCACACACACACACAAAAAAAAACCAACTCAGCTATTCAGTGACAGCTCCTCATTCTTTCTGATCCCAAATTCTTTGTCCTTTCAATGGCAGTACACTGCCACATTTGTGTCAACTGTTTGATGATTCTTGGAGGACTTAATACTTTTTTCTTTTTTTTAGTCAAAACGCCCCAAGCATGTCCTGGTTTTCAAACCCTAGAATCCAGTTTCCTTGGATGTAGTTTACCCTGTAAAACACACTTCCATCACTACCTACCAATTATGTAAAATAATCAGATTTCCCTCTTACTCTTTAGTCTCTATCAAGGTAAGATCTGAGTAGAAAGATGAGGAGTCATGATAACATGGAGTGAGTGCTGGGTGAGTCTTTGACCCCAGGGAGGCCCAGAAAACGTAATGAAGTTATGATTTATTGTGAAGAGAGAAAAGGTATTGATGATGTTGACACACAATATAAGAAGTGCCTTGTACATAGTAAAATTATTATGTTTCTATTAATTTTTATTATATATCTTAATTACTACAAATCCCATCTCACCCTCAAGTCTATTAATATCTTTTTCTTGACATGTAACTTCTTCCCCCAGATTGAGAAATGTCACTCTACTGTCCATACACAAATGATAAACCATTCTAACTATTTCTATATGT